CAGCAGCGCCGGGGGCGCGGAGCCTCCCCCTCCGCCCCTGCTGACCCACGGCTGATTTAATCAGCTACAGTTCAACGCGGCCGGCTTGGGTAACTTATGCAGTGTGACTCTTTGTCTTCCCCAGGAAGGAATTTTGTTTGTTTGTAAAAAGAGGCGTTAGTACAATAAATTCTACCACGTTGAGTTTCACGGTTCAGGTTTTCTTTCTTTTGTTCAACATACAGAACAAGAGAGAAAAAAAAATTAAAAGTGCATTTTCATTCTTCTGCTATTAAAATCAGAACCATTTCCAGGCGTACAACATACATTTTAGCGGTAATGGACAAAAAACTGCCATTCATTCCGCAATGGTGTCAAAGGACAAACATCTGCTTTCATTACAAGCTTCAAAATATTTTCCCTTTAAACTACCATCCACAAAAATACAGGAGAAGCACATTTTTCCAAAATACTGCATAAGCCTGGTGTTCCTGTACCTACTGAGGTGTTTCTTTACACTGCATTTCTCCCTCTTAGGGGACTCCTGCAGCGCAACTGTAACTGGCTCCAGGGAATTTTTCAAATTTGGATATTACTATCAGCTAAGTGGCTAAGTCCCAGTAGTTGCTGCTTTGGCTGCTGGCCACTTTTTTTTTTTAAGGAAATCATATTGGGAGTGCACAATGATAACTGAAGTGCAAGGAACATCCTGGAAATCTGTATTAAAATGGTACTTGATGGCTCACTGAAAAGACCACAAAAGCCAAGAAATTCAGTGCTAAACCTGAAAGTCCACGTTGACGTAATGTAGCCCATTGACTTATAAATATTTCAACACAGGCAGTACACTGGCACTGCCAATACACAGGAACAGGGGAGGAACATGAGGAGGAGGAGGGATCCGAGTTATTATCTTGGTACCAGTGGTTTTACTGTAGCCACTGCTGGCAATCGACATAATTGACCAGGAAAATCCAACTCCCAGTGCAAATGGATTAAGGAAGTTTAAGTCTTAAGTCTAAATTTCCTGGCTTTTGTGGGTTTAACTCAAGACTCTCAGTGGTATTTGAACATATTTTTGGTGTTTTAATGTGGTTTTAAACAGCGCTATTTTTTTTCCACATTGTCAATGAAGTTTGCAAGAAATTACACAGTAAAATGTTATAAACCTGAATCTCCTAAATATAAACACTATGCCTACTAAGTTTTCTGCAATCAGCCCAGTTCATTCGTTTGCCTCTACTAAAAATAAGTAGAAAAAATTCTTAATGTGCATTAAAAAAATTACCAGGCTGGTCATTTTAGTTTAGATAGACCTTCACGACTTCTTACACTTCAATTCAGAATGGTCGTAATGCCACATTTTAAGCTGTAAAGCATATTTGATAAACTCAGTTTCACAAGACTTGATGACATGTTAGCTTTACATCCTCCTAAAAGAAAACTGCTGAGAGACCTACTTGCTCTCTTTTAAAAAAGACAGATTAGAAGGGTTGCACATGCACACTGCTACTTAACACTTTAGTGCCCAAAAAAACTGAACTGGGAAGTATATCAGTGGCCTACTACAGTTGCTGGTAAGCAGCTACTGTAATATACGCCACCCCATACAGATTTCTAGCAATTTCTGTAAACTAGGAACGACCAGAAGGGTAGCACGTGATGCAGGAGCTAGCTGCGTGTAAGGGAGATTATGTGATCCTGCTCGGGGAGGGTGTGTATCAGGGAGCACTGGATTTAGAGCTAGAAGTGGAGCGGTCCCCATGAGGAGGCGGGCACTATGTGTCACCCAGGTTCAGAGTACTTTTACCTTCTCACACTCCAGGTTTGCAACCTTCACTCCTTGAATGTGAACTGTAAGCATCCTACTTTGCACTTTTTAAGCAATCAAAGCTCCTACTGATTTCAAAAACGGAGTTCCCCTCAGCCAAGAATGCAGAAACAGGAACTCGGCATTTTGACTATTTAGGCCAAAAATAGATTTTCAGCAAAGTGCAGCTCTGTCTTCCCCTTTCTCCTTCTCTAACAGTCACTGTTAAAAGCACTACCCCTCCATTGAATAGCAACTCTCAAGTAGGAGGAGACGCCCCTCGTTTCCAATTCATGTGAAGGATGAATATGCAGAGCCAAGTTCATGTGAGGAAGGAAGCTGCTCCGTGTTCCGATGAGATTTAAAACTTCGGTGAGTACCTCTGAACTCATCCTCATTCACAGCCTGGGAGCAGCACATAAATAATTATAGTAAGGCATCTCCTACTCTCATAGCAGCCAGTCAACCGGAGCGCTGGTGCCACTTCCTCAGCTAAGGAGAGGCCAGCCAAAGAGTCCCTGAAACTTAGCAGAGAAACTCCTGGCTTTTTAAAAATGCAAACAGTGGAAAGCCTTTTGACACACTTTTCTATTAAATAAATGTTAACATACTTGCTGTTGGTTAGCAAACAGTTTACTGAAATGTTTGCACAGAGGGACTGTGCTTTCTTGATCTGAATCCCAAGTTCCCCTGTCTTAAGTTTCCAAATGTGCATGCTAACAGAACTTTTTCCAGCCGTCCCTGCCTCTTCAAACAAAACAAAACCCACTCTGTGAACGTCTCATTTACAAGGTACGGGAAAGCTTCGTTTGACCAAAGATTTATTTGCAGTGCAGGCAAAAAAACGACGTCCTCTTAAATACTGCTATGCAAATGCTTTGTTCTGAATAACCACCTTCCTGGGCCAGGGGAATATTTAACTTCCCCCGCCCCCCGTCTCTGCTTAGCATTCCCCTGACTTAGCCACGCTGCAGCGCAGGACTTAGCCCACACTCTCCAGTTTCCTCGCACCCTCTTTCCAGGAACACTGGGGGCAGATCACGAGGATTTCACCCTCTCTCCATCCAGGCTCTGCAGCCTGGCAGCCCCACGCACCCGCAGAAGCAACATGCAACACCCTCCCCCCCCCCCCTTTTTTTTTTAAAAAGAAAAAAGAGCAACTCTGCCTCGTCTGCGATGAGCTACTTTTTAGGATCGGCGGTGAAAAAAACAGATACATAAATAAGATATAAGACGTAAATCTTCCTTTCCTTCGGCAAAAGCACCCCTCCTTCAAAACGACCCCAGCCTC